CCCCCCCGACGAAACTTCAGCTATGAATTTCAGAGCATTTCACACAATAGTAAGACCTACTTCAGCTATCCTCCTCTACCCTTCAGGGAAAAGACAGTGCAACAAGACTTTGAAAAAAATATTTAGGGAATGGTGCCATCCCTTTCAAGCAAAGCTTTAGATTTTTTAGTTAGCTATTATGTCAGAGATTAATTGCTGCCCTCTGAAACAAGATTGGAGAAAAACTAAATGCACATTGAGCTTACATTAGGAATAAACTGTTTTTTATTTTCTTATGGCAAATACCAGCAAACTTATTCTTCAGGTATGTATTTTCACTGTTTTCAGGAAGACAAATTTAAAATACAACTATCTTCTAATATCTACTTCTTTTCTCACCAGTAATAGTGAAAATATTAATAGATTTAATTTAGAAAATATATTATTCACTTTGGAATTTGAAATTGTATTTGAATACTATAGTGTAGAAGGGAATGTGGATATTCTTCTTCTGATTTACCTTAAAAACAAGTATTTATAATGTATTTTGATTGCCCCCTCCCCCCGAAACATGCAAAATTTTACTGACAATCTGGGGATTTTAATATTTTTCTGATTACCAGTTTTCATTTAGGGCTGTGTGTACCTTATATAGAGTAGTTACGAAAATTCCCATGTGTATCAAATAGCGTCACATTTATAAAACCTGTAACATGTACATAGTTGAGATAAAAGTATGTGCTAGTGTTCATATTCATTTCCACTGAATTTTTTGTTATTATTTTCAGTGGCAGTCCTATCAGCAGATAACCCTTTAGGAATATAATAAATCAAGATCCTTGTTGCCTGATGACTGTAACTAATCCTGACAGAATAATTTCATATGAGAAGATTTTGAGTACTAATTATTTGTAGGTGCAAGCAATGCTTTTGAAACCTAACAGTGCTTAGAGCTTAACACCAATTTTTATCGCCTTTTCAGAAAGCAAAATAAAAACATTCTTTTGAGGATACATGACAATTTGTGGGAAAAATAATGTGGTAGCTTATGTTAATTGGAAATAATAGTCCATAATTACCAAAAGTAAAACAACAAATTACTAGCAATGACTTAACTCTGTTGTTACATAAGGTTCTAAAATCAAGAAAAAAGTATTCAGAAAGGTGAGAGTATGAGTTGGAAGGCCAGAATTACTGTGTAACAAAATTAAGATGCAAAAAATACACTATGTCCCTTTTACTTATCTCCTTTGTTCTATGAAAATCATGCTAGCATATTACTTGGACAGGGCACAGATGCAATTCTAGCATGTCTCTCAATTGCTAAAAAGAAAGTTAATTGCATACAAAACCTATGAGCAGTAAAAATATTATGTGATGATGTCGTTAGAAGACTGATTTGCAGTGCCAATAGAGGGATAGACTGAGGGCTGACCAGCCAATCTCAATTATGGGACGTAATTGTGTCCCAGTTGTTCAGATTTGAACATGAAAGCTATCATCTCTGTTTTAGCTTTCGGTATGTAATTTGCTTGTGTTCTTAAAGTGAAAAAGAACACAATCTAAAGCTGTGATGAGTCTTTTATCCTGACTTATCACTAAGGCTGGAAGCCCCAGAATAGCACACACTTAACTGCAGACTGCTGCCACCTGAGCTACACAAACACATGTACCTGGGAGGGACCAGCGGGAGCAGGGTCCCCCAAGCCCATCTCCTGCAGGCTGCTGCTGGAGGGGCTGCTCCCTGACCTTTTCTCCATGGTGCCAGGGCTGGTTTTTGCGTGACCATGAAGAAAGCCAGGTCAGTGGTCTGATCCAGCTGAAAAGTCATTCTTTGTCCAATTGATATCATGCAAGTTCAATTTCCTGATGTTACATGTGAACAGGCATTACTACCTGAAGTAGGAAAGGATGGGAGCAAGAAGAGGTGGTGGCCCTTGATTCTGGCAGCAGTTCTTAGAGTAAAGGGAACCTTGAGACTGCAGCCCTGCCTGCCGGACCAGCCTACCCCATCTGAAGCTTGACACTTTACCCTCCCCCTATAATGAGAGAGTGTGCTACATAGCGAGTCAGGGACAAGGGATATCCACCACACAGCAGTTGATAATTCATCAGGTTTGACCTGTACCACATTATTCCTTCACTGCATTCACTTTGGAGGGAACTTCATGCAGCTATATAAACCTGGAGCTTAAGTCAATGAAAAAAAAAAAAAAAATCAAATATGTCTGATGATTTCAAAGCACATAAATGATTATATTACATAATTCTTAATTTTTCCAGTTCTCCTGTGTAGTCATTATAGAAATATTTTCTTATGTACATTCCTGTTTATTTTCACTTATTGCCATGATGTGATCAAAATGTAGTATTTTCCTACACCTTCTCCCAAGAGAGACATTAGCAAATTTAAAAATGGGTATGGTTTATCAGTGGTAGGAAATAAAAATTATCATGATCTTGGGAATCAAACTCAGACCTGTTTGTAGCAGTATACTTGTGCTGTAACAGTACCCACAGGCCAGCTGTCTTGTCTTATTTTTTTAAATCACTTTCATATTATTTAAGAAAATCCACTGTGTAATTCCATCCAGTGTTGACATCTTTGTCGTCAGGAATGTGTGTTAACCCATTTTAAATGTCTTCTTGTTATTTGTGACAGCTCTTATAAGTCCTTCTTAAATCAAAACATATTAAAAAGCAAATAGGAAGGATGTGTGTTCTCACTCAATTATTCTGAAAATGTGTTATCTCTTTATGATTCTACCAGTGCAAATTTGTAGGAACTGAATGCTGAAAATTAAACAGTACAAACTACATTACTATTTATTTCCTTTAATGGTTTATTCTTGCTCAGTATTTTATTTCATCTCATCAATGCTTCTGGTACTGTAAGTTAGTTATAAAATTAAATTGTTGACCAACCTAGAACTGGAGTACATATATTAGAAAATGTTATCTGGTTATTTAAAGATCACATAACATTTTGAGCTGTGCAAACTGCTATTTTTGACTGTGTATAAAATTTTGCAGATGACTGTAGGGCTTTCAAGATTTGATGTGCTTAATTTAAAAGTGGTTCGATATTTTGATTGATTTTTTTTTCCCCTTCCCTTCTTTCCCCTCTCTAGAAAAAGGCTAAAGTCCTTTGCTGAAGTATGGAAGATAAATGATTCTCAGGAACTACAAAAATGGAAAAGTATGTGTGAACCTGAAGATGAAAGAAAAGACAGTTTTTAATCTTCAAATCATGCTTAAAGATGGAAAATATTGGAGATGCTTAATATAGGTGTGAAGACTTAATACATTCTATCAGGGTGTAGTTCTAGGTGCATTAAGTTGACTTTTCAGCCTTTTCAGAGATAAGAGATGCTGCATTGTGATATGATGTCCCACATCCACTTCCTGATTGTATATCTTTTTTCTCACTCCACATTCCCTCCCTGAAGTGTTTTCCACCCTTTTCCTTAATTGCAAAATGTCTATTGGCATTGGATTTAGTTTCTAATATGTTTAGAAAACATGAAAAATTATGTTGGTAAATTATTTGGTAAATATTTTATGAATAAAATAATGTCTTTTAACTTTATTGTACTTCAATTTCTAAAGAAATACTCGTCTGCGTTGGGAAAATGTAGCTGAGTCTTGACTATGCTATACAGCTGTGTAATTGGTAAGAATGAATACCACAAAGAGGTATTTTTTTGTTGTTCTAGTACTAATGTATTTAATATTCACTGATTTTGTAGAGCACCCTCTAAATTTTATGTGCACAATGAATTTAAGAAAGTGTGTGTTATGTGGCTAGAGAGGAGAGTTTTGTTTATACTGATTGACAATGGTGCAACTAGTAGTTTTCAAAGCAGCAGCACAAAGCATGCATTGACTGTTTTCCCTCTTCTTCATTCTCATGCACGCCTGGTTCCTTTTCAGCTTCAGCTCTTCTCCTGATCTTGGCACAGTCTGTAGACTGACTTGCTCTAAATAATGTTGGCATATCCTAAGATGAGGTGAAAGAGGCAATTCAAACTATGCAACTGGCATCCCCAGCGCTCTGTCAAATGCAGAGTAAAGCAGAGAGAAACAGATGTGTTTTTAAATTTCTTTTTATTTGCAGTTATAAAGTTCATATTTCAAATGGGAACGTGATATCCAAATTGGTTTTCCTTTATAAACATAACCAGGTGAAATATCTTGCTATGAAAATGGACAATGATGTTCACATACTTAAACCCTGGCAAATAGTTTGTTGTATTAAAAAAAAAAAATTAAGTGAAAAGAAGTGAAATAAAGTACCGTCTTGATTTTGCTATAAGGAAAATAATAAAATGAGGTTTTGTACTCTTTAAGACAGCTGAACAGTTCTGATTTTTTCAGTAAAGGAAGGAATTTTTTTTTTTTTTCCCAAATAATGCATGTCAGATAAATATGAAATAATGTCATTGCAGGTGATTGAATTAGCCTTCCCAATATAGAGAACTTCATGCAGAAAAGGGTGTAATTTTTTTACCTGTGATAAACAATTGCTAACCTTCATGAAAGACTTTTTTCCAGCTTCTTCAGATGACAAAGCATCATTTAAACAAATAGTTTGTCTGCTTCAAATAGCAATCAATATGAGCATCTTCTTCCAGAGTGTGCAGTGTATTTATCTAAACTGGAAGAGCTGAAGAAGAAAACTAGTCTTTCAAGGAGTTATTACACAAGTGTGTTTATGCCATGCATTGTGAAGCACAATGAATGTAATACTCTATTATTAATGCACACAGATGCAGTGCATTGGATCTAAGGACCTCTGACCATAGTCTTCAAAGAGAATAAATAAGCCATTGCTAAATTCCCATATGTGCTAAATGAGCTTTTAGTGTGATACTTTTTGCCCTCAAGGGAGCATTCAGACTATGCTCTGACAAGAAAAAGAACACCTGGATACAGTCTGGAAGAAAAAATGAAGAAATACAATTAAGAATGGAGAAATGGACACAGTACTACTGGCCTGCTCATGCTATCAAGTGCAAAACAATTACAGCAGGCTTTTCTCTTAATGTCTGTGATCGTGCTAGGAATAATTTGATTTAGCCCTGCTCAGTTCAACAACAGAGGTTATCTTGCTATCCTGAGAAGGTTTTTTCTAGATATGCAGGCTAATTATTAAAGCTACTGTTTTATTCACTGCTGATTATTATAATTCCTAGCAGATATGTAAAAAGTTATGACCATTTGAGAATGCACTATAAGGAGATGCATGCTGTTATTAGATGTGTTTACTGCTGGTTTTGGGATATATTTGTGACGAACCACACAGTACAGTGCAGATTTATCTAGACCTTGGTCTGCTGATGTGGAACAGCCACACTCGTTAGCAGAGTGAGTGCCACATGAGGGCGATCACTCTGGGATGTGATGAGTTCAGAGCTCACTTGGGTACGTTTGCAGAGCCTGAGATTAGGTTAGTCTAGGCAAGCAACCAGACAGATGTTCCTTGGCCTTTGGTAGCATAGAGCACAAGCAGGATATAAAGACTTGCTGGAAAACAGGGAAAGGCATTAATTCTGTGGGAGGGTTTGGGTTTTTTTCATTTCTTTTGCTGTGGTGAGTTGGGACTTCTGTGTCTGTCATAGCAGGAGTCCTTATAAGAGATGGAAAGATCAGAAGCCACTTTTGTGTTTTCCTTTTTTTTTCCTTTTTCTTTTCTTTTAAATTCCAGCACACTAAGCTTCATCTGAAAGACAATTTGAAGTACAGTTTTGGTAGTGGTACAACCTTGGACATGTGTCCTATTTTTAAACCAGAGTAATAAAATTGTGTTTGTGTGCTGAGTCAGCAAGTTTGATCCTGCATACTGACAGCTGTAAGATTAAAGGAGAGTGACCCATACCTAGATGATGCTTGGTTGTAGTGGAAATTCATGCTAGCTTGCCTTCAAGAAAGGAATGTCTAAATCTCTTTGTCTAAATATTAATATATTTGGAAACCTGCATAGAGTGTTGGCTCCTACTGCCTGTGCCAGCACATTACTGACATCGATAAAATTTGTATTGATGTGAAAAATACAGCTTTGTGCTATAGATAAAGGTACAGTCTCCTTGAAAGGCTTTTCCACTTTAAGGATTTTACCTGTTTTTTTTAAAAGATGGTATTTATCACTTTCTTAAGCTTTTTCATTGTTCTCTCTCCCCTGCTCTTAACATAAAAATTTTAATGCCTTTGTGCATCTTGTCTTGAATGTATTGCCTTTAGAAATCACAGTGCCACATGTTAGCAACAAAAACTGGTAGACCGTTTTGATGGAAGAGAAGGAGAGAGAGGGCTGGATACGCTGTCACTGCCTTTTTGTATTTGGTTATATAAGAACGTTATTATAGAATACACAAAGTAAAATACATTACCAGTAGCAATTACCTTTCTTCCTGGCATACAATGTCTTTCACTGAAGTAATTCTCAAGAGGATTTCTTCCTTGTATTGCAAAGTTTTCCAGAAGTATTTATAGAAATTACATGAATTTACCTACCACATAAGCTTACAACCCATATAAATGAATTTAAAGATCACTGAAATGTCAGCTGAGTCAGGTATTGCAATAAGTCTGTTCACTGCAATGAAAGTAATGTTTATTTATTTAAATATATTGGAAAGCAAATTATCCAAATATTTCCACTATATGTAAAATTCAGTGAGAATTTAATTCAGTTATTGTAACTTCTTGTAGTTCTGACATAAAGGCATGTTTCATAGGGAAATAAAGGTTCGGTAGATTGCATTGCACTGAGAGAAGCAGGACTCTGTTCCGGAATCTGGATCAGACTTCAGAATGGTTATTGGAGGGCCTCCTCCCCCTGTCTCACCCCAGGTGGCCATTGCAATCTCCTCCAAAAATCCTGGTGCCAGTACCGCAAGTCTTGGACAGCAATATGAAAAGTAAGTCTGACCTCCCTCTCTCTTCCCCCTTTCTGACTTTAGAGCCTATGAATGTAGTGGATGATTCTTAACACCTTTTAATTGTTTCTGAACACAAAGGCCATAGTGAGCTGAAATTTACCATCTCAACATAACTTTGCCATCTCTTTTCAAAGCTTTCCTCCATCTCCCTGCAAAATCTCTGGCAATCAAATCCAAATCAGATGTTTGTTAAATCTGAATGCAGTTCTGGGGGACAAATTTGTAGCCTGCTGATCTGAATCAGGAATTTTTAAAAAGCATATGGCCAGAGACTAAGAAGGGATTTATGGCTGAACAAGGATGAATTCAGGACTGAAAATCCAGCTGGTACGTAAACATGAGATTCAGTTGTGAGACCACTTATTTGGGCCTTTGACCTGTGTCAGTCCAGTGTTGCGGACTGTTCTTTTGTTGTAGCCCTCTATAGGGGAAGACATGGATTTGCCCATCTTGGTAGAATCCTGTACTAAAAATATTCTTGCCAAAATTATAGAACTCTGCTTACTTTAATGATGCTACATTTGTCATTGTACATGGCTAAGCAGACTTGGTGTGGAAATCCTCCCCTTGCTTCAATGGTAGATCAGTTTCTTCTTCAGTTACAGATGCACAACCTCAATGACTTCCTTAGTTACATTATAGATTTTTCTCCTTGCCTAGCCATAAAGACAAGTAGAAAGCAAAGGATGTTTTCTTTATTTCTTAAAAAATAAAAAAAAACCATCTTGTTTTGTAAGATGTGAGTCTTTGCAGGCCATGCTGTTAACTGTGAAATGGTGTATTTGTCTGAGACTAAACTGGTTTAAGTCATAGAATCAGAATGGTTTGGGTTGGA